CTTTGTCAATCGAGTTAGTGTTATATCTGTGGTTTAACCTCAAAAAATTTTAATGATTTAAACGTAAAAACAGAAGATAAAACGGAGGCACTTGGTTTTGGTCTTTCTGTGTTACATGCCCGAATAAGACTATTTGAATCGATTTTACATCTTTCTTACAAGTTACCTGTAAAAAAATGGCAAATAAAGGTAGAGACTGAGAAAGCTGTAATAAAGAAAAGAAAAACAGAAATACAAAAGAATTTTCGAGAAAAGATGGGCTTGATCGTAGATGTACCTAAACCGGGATTCGGTAACAGTAATGATGGCAACACAAGTAGGAGATTTTTTTCGGACCATGAGCTAGCAGCAGAAATTACAGGAATTGATGTTAACTTAATATATAGGTTAAAAGTAATCCTGGAAACCATCTCGAGTGGATTTAAAGTCTCTTCAGATTATTTTGCTGCATACGCGAAGGAAACTGCCGAGCTCTATGTTAAACTTTACCCCTGGCATCCGATGACTCCTACATTACACAAAATACTTGTTCACGGAGCAGCAGTTATAGAAAACGCGTTACTTCCGATTGGCCAGTTATCAGAAGAAGCATCAGAAGCCCGAAACAAACATTTTAGATTTTATAGGTTAAATTATGCTCGAAAATTCTCAAGAGAATCCTGTAACCACGTTGTAATTAATCGACTATTATTAACTTCAGACCCGTTCATAACAGCAATGCGACCAAATCTCCCAAAAAAAAGCAAACCATTTTTAAAAGAAACGACAGCAATGTTAATTTGTGCTGCATCTTATACAGAAGGACAAGATTTTTCAGATGAAAATGACAATCTGTCTGTGCACGAAAAATCGTTTAACACATCATTTTCTTCAGTATCATCATTTAGTTAACAACTTCTTATGCGTTTCGATGTTAATTTATTGTTTTATAGTAGTTAATATAACTTTGATTTGTCTATTGTTTCGTTTTTCAAGCGATGAAGAACTGATAGTTCTCGTGAACTTTAATATTGCAGGATAGCCCATTTGTTATCCAGATTTAATAGAAAACTTATAAAACACTATAAAAAGCCTATATAAATACTTTTAGAGTTGAGTAAAGTGAAAAAATATTTTTGGCCGCGTAGATCTTCAAATTACCCCACTGTGCGCCGATTGGGAAATGTTTCAGCATAGAAACGACGTGCTCTCAAAGTATTTCCATTGGCACGGCCGTACATAAACGCCATATCGCTCATTTCATCATTTGAATACAAGACCATTGCAAACGATTTCATTTTAGGTTTCGCAAAGTCAAATTACTGGAGTTTGGTTATTTCGTAATTTGAACAAAATGTCAAATTAATCTTAGCATATTGTATGTAAGTCGAAGCCTACTCTTTGTAATGGCAAAATTTTGGTAACTAATGGCCGTGCACTCGGTATAACGTTTTGTAATGGAATAACTTATACCACCTGGAAGCAATGGAAATATCATACTACTCTCAAAAAGAGACAGTTTCATACAGCATCGATTTGTGAAACTTATAAAAACCAAAAGTATTAGTATTGCATTGTGTCAATTCAACTTATCTAATAATTTACTTTAAAAAATGTTTTTTTTCTCGGAAACCTTAAGGAATATAACAGTTTTCTTCGTATTAATATTGTTTAGAATTAAGCTATCTAACCAATTGTTAAATAAAATTTTTGAATTTTCTGAAAAATAGTGGTACAGTGAAAGCTCTAATAAGTGACGGTTCCGTTACTTTTGTCCGCCTATCAGAGATGTCCGCTTATGAGAAAAGACTACTCAAATTAAAGTACATACACAAATACACATATATGTATTATTTTGATCAGTTTTCGAAAATTTCGCTTTAATAAAACTATCTTTTTTTTATATTTTAATTTTTTTTTTTTTAAACGAACGTTCATACATAAAAAAGGTAAACTTAAAACTAAAACTATTTATTTTTCGTTTGAATAAAATCTAGCATACTGCTTTGCCGCAATGAAGTTTCTCTTTGTAATAAGAAAGAATGTTCAATATGTGTTTCTAAATTTTTCACATGTTGAAATGCAGTAAAATCATTTTTCACGAATGATTTTAGTTTGGAAATTACATTCAATGTATGTATGTATGTATCTCTACATTCAATGCTTCTTTATAAGATGTGATTGGATTACGTTCCTCGTCCTCCTCCACCTCTACCTCTTCATTCTCTTCCTCTTCTGTCTCATTTTCAACATTTTTTGTGACTACCGAAAATTCCAAGTCATTATCTTCTATATCGACATTTTGATCAACAGTTAAATATTCTTCTGCTGTTTTTACATTATCTATTCCCAGTCTTTTACTACATTTAAACAAATCAGCTAGTCTCACAAGTGGCAAATTATCTTCAACATCGTAGTTACTGTCAGTTGAACTTCCTTGATCCATCAGAAATCCAGCTTTTTTAAAACAATTTCTAATTGTTTTTGGAGTGACCTTCTGCCACGCAGATTTTATAAAGTACAAGCTCTCTAATATGTCTGTGTATAGATTTTGATAATTTAGAAGCCGATTCTGCGAAATCTATTTTTGATAATAGGTGACTCACTATTAAATCGCGATAATAAAATTTAAAATTGCGTATGATACCCTGATCTAACGGCTGGCAGACAGATGTTGCATTAGGAAGTAAAAAAATAATTTTTATATTTTTTAATTTTAAGTCATGTGGATGTGAAGTGGCATTATCAAGAAATAAAATGATTTTTCTTTTTTTTATACCCATGTTTTTATCGAAATTACTTAACCACTCCGTCATAATGTCTCGTGTCATCCATGCTTTTTTGTTTGATTTCCAGATAGCCGGTAAATCCTTGGGAGCAACATTTTTTAATGCTCGGGGACGTGCCGACTTTCCAATAACTAGCAACTCCTCTTTCTCACCTATACTATTTACACAGAACAAAACGGTTAATCGTTCTTTGGACAGTTTTCCTCCTGTGCATTTTTCCGACTTTAAAGCTAAAGTTTTATTTGGTAATGCACGAAAAAAGAGCCCACTATCATCTGCGTTAAAAATGTCCTCTGGTCGATAGCCTAGTAAGAAGGTCGGTAATTTTTTCATAAATTCATTAATGCCCTTTTCATTTATATCTGCTGCTTCTCCGGAGATACACTTAAATGCAACATTATTTCTCAAACGCCACTTTTGTAACCACCCATCAGACGCTTTAAAGGTGCTCACTTCTAATCTTTCTGCAATTTCTTTTGCTTTTTTCTTTACGAATGACCCTGATACGGCAATATTTTGATTTTTAGCTTTCACAAACCATTCGAAACAGGCTTTGTCGATCTTTGAACCCTCACTACTCAAAAAGTTTTTCTTCGTTTTTACACTGACTCCAGACTGCCATTTCTTTCGAATCTTTTCTTTATCTTTGATTATTTTTGCCGCTTGTGTTTTCCCGATTTTAAATTTTTTAGCAATATCACGAACTGACAACTTTTCTTTATCTAATAAACACACTATTTCCATTTTCTCCTTTAACATAAGCATCTTTTTCTTTACCACCTTGGAAGCCATTTCAACGCACGTTACACCGAAACGAACAAACTAATAATAACTATGTACTAATGTTTTGGGATTCGTTAACAAGCGGAACTCGTAAAACGAGGAATCCCCGAACACATGTCGGTAAATATCTATTACAGATTACTTTGATGTGTGCGTTTAGTTACCTACGCGTCCGTTTATTAGAAATTTTTGCCCGTTATGTAAAGAAAAATAGTGTCCGCGTCCGTTTATTAGAGCGTCCGTTTATGGGAAATAAATATGTACATGAAAATATAGGTTTGGGGTTGGTTCCAAGATTTTTGTCCGCTTATAAGAGATGTCCGCTTATTAGAGCTGTCCGCAAGGAGAGCTTTCACTGTATTTATTTTCACTGCCGGTCCAACCGGAAGCAATGGAAACATCATACTACTCTCAAAAAGAGACAGTTTCATACTGTATCGATTTGCCAAGTATCAAATTTGTAGTAGTTATAGTTTAAAAGAAAAAACGTAGAGTCCAGAAAAATTTTAACATCCTGTATCTCGAGAACGGTTGATTTTCGAACCCATGTTTATTAACACTTTTCGACTTATTTTCGACTGTTGCTACCCCTATAAATATTTAAACGTTGTTTTAAAACACCCTGTATGTATATGTAATTGTTTATGTCTATTTAAAGTACTAATTTATATGAAAAAAGTGTTCGAGTTATTTTGTTTACATATGTCAAATATACACATATATGTATAATGCTAAAAATAGTTCGAACAGGTTCAAGGATCTTGATCTTGAAACGTATAGATAGCTCATTATTTTTGATGGTGTAAGGTTTTAACATCTAACCTTATCAAACTAATAATATCTTTTAATAAAACATGATTATTTATTTGAATATAAAAATGTGTTTTCTTTGTTAAGGTCACCAATGGGTTTATTCAAATTTAGGAATAAAACCGAAATCTGGTTGGTCAATAGATCCATTTGGGCATGGAAGTACTCAACCTTATTTAATGGCTTTATCCGGAATCGAAGGAACCGTCATACAACGCATTCATTACGCATGGAAACAATGGCTGGCAGCGAAACAGTACGAAGAATTTCGTTGGACGCCGAATTGGTCTCCATCAGATACAAAGGGCACTCTTTTAACGCATAACCAACCGTTCGATATTTACTCGATTAAACACAGCTGCGGGCCGCATCCGTACATTTGTCTTAATTTTGATTTTCGCAAGGTTAACGGAGAATACACCGAGTATTCCTTAAGAGCTCAACCGATCAATGATAAAAATGTTAAAGAAAAAGCCGAACTTCTTTTAGAGCAATACGCAAAAACCGGATCTTTATTTCCGCATAACGTGGTGTTAATGCCTTTAGGTGACGATTTCCGTTATAACGTTATCGAAGAATGGGATCAACAATACACTAATTATATAAAATTGATAGAGTTTATAAACAATAATAAGAAAGATTATAAAGCGGAAGTGGTTTTTGGAACACCAAAAGACTATTTTGACGAAATTTTAAATCGATACGATGCTTATCCGAGTTTAAAAGGCGACTTTTTTGTTTATTCGGATATATTTTCGGAAGGAAGACCCGCTTATTGGTCGGGTTATTTCACAACAAGACCGTATATGAAAATATTAGACCGCGAATTAGAGTACAATCTAAGATCGACCGAAATTTTGTACACCGTCGCCGTTAATCACGCAAGACAAAAAGAATTTATATCGATATTAAAGATTTTAGAGCGTGATTACGAAAAATTAATTCGGGCAAGAAGAAATTTAGGGTTATTCCAGCATCATGACGCGATTACGGGAACTAGTAAATCGTTCGTTATGAGAGATTACGGTTTAAAACTATTTGAAAGTATTCACGATACCGTAAAATTGCAGCAGTTGTGTTTAGAAAGTTTGTTATTCGGCGGTTATCAAAAGAAACCGAATAAAAATGCCATATTAAGCGACATAGAAATAGATTCATACGAAAAATTGCCTAAGAAAACTATAATAAACGTGGGTAAAGATTTAATAAAACGGTTAGTTTTATTTAATTCTTTAGCTCAAGATCAAGAACATATCGTTCAAGTTCGAATCACCTCACCTAAAGTTAAAGTAACCGATGAGCATGGAAAAGAAGTTTTGATCCAAGTTAATCCCGTTTGGAATTCAACCGAATCAAACACGCGTTTAACAATTGTTGAAAATGAATATGAGTTATTTTTTATTGCAAAAATCCCCGCTTTAACAGTTGTAACATATAACGTAACTTATTCTGAATCAGCTTCGAATTTAGCAACAATTTATTGCAATAAATGCCATTTAAAAGATTTTAGCGATAATTACGATCAAAACATTGTAATAACCCCTCAATATTTGCCATCGAAATTTAAAATCCGTAACATGCAAATAGGCGACATCCAATTAGAAAATCGCAAATTTAAATTATTATTCGATGGGAGAAGCGGCTTCCTAAAAAGCGTCACTCAAAAAAATAACTTAAAAATAATTCAATCTTCAATTCAATTTCTCGCTTATAAATCAGCTCAATACCACTCAGGCGCTTATTTATTTATGCCCGATCCGAACGAACGAGACGTCGAAAGAGACGTTCTTTCCGATTACAAAGATCACGTTTCGATTATAATAACATCCGGAAATGTAGCTAGCGAACTAACCGTGATTTACGGACCATTTTTAGTTCATACCGTAAGAATTTATCACCCCGAATCATCGAATTTATCAAACGGTGTTTACATCGAGAACGAAATCGATTTTGAGAATCCTCCAAAAAATAGGGAAACGGAATTGTTTATGCGAATCGTTACCGATATCCAAAACGGTGATCCCCCGCAATTTTACACCGATTTAAACGGTTTTCAAATGCAAAAACGGGTTAAAGTTGAACAAATCGGAATTGAAGGGAATTATTTTCCCATAACAACAATGACTTATATCGAGGACGATAAATTACGATTGAGTTTGATTACTAATCACGCTCAAGGTGCCGCTTCTTGGCAACCCGGCTTTTTGGAGGTGATGTTAGATCGTAGAACTTTGTACGATGATTCGAGGGGGATGGGCGAGGGTGTTATCGATAATCGAAAAACGTTGAATAAATTTTGGTTGTTATTTGAAAATTACGAGAACGAAGAACCGAAACGATTCGCATCGCATAGAATCGATAAACGAGAAGCAATCGAGGATAAAGCCGAATTTTCTCGCCCGAGTTTATTTGCTAATCATTTATCGAATAGTTTAAATTATCCGGTTGGGATTTTTGTGGTTAGCGATGAATTTTCGAAATTAAAACTTGAGCCGAATTTAAAACTGATAAACAAAGAATTTCCGTGCGATTATCACGTATTAACATTTAGAACGCAAGCCGATCCGATTTATTCTCAATTCCCATCGAATTTCGCGCTTTTAGTCTTACACAGACAGGGTTATTCTTGCCGGATTGATTCAAATTATAATTGTAAAAAACTCAATATCGATCGAGACGCTAAATTTGAGTTGTTAAAAATTGAAAATATCCAACCGGTTACTTTAACCGGTTTAGATAAAGACGGTGATAGTATTGAAGATTTAAGTGAAATGAGATTATCACCGATGAGTTTACAAAGTTATAATTTTACGTTTAATATGTATATGTAGAAAAAAAAATAAAATCAAAATGTCTCAAATTTAATATAATAAGAAATAAAGAAATGAATAGATAAAAATTAAAGAAGAATGAAAGAATTTAAAATTATCTAGATTCAATTTGTTACGAATAGTTATTTAAATAGTACCTAAGTAAATCTTAAATACAATTATATTTTAATCCCCCATGACGATAGTATTATTAATGAGATTAAATAAATGAATTTGATGTAGCAAAAAAGAAATTAATTGATGGACCAAACGTTTTTTGAAGCTAGTATAAACTAAAACAAATCTAAAGTTGATTCTTTTAAAATGAATATGTGTGTTATTTTTATTTTCTTTTTAATATTATAATTTTCATTTCTATTTTGTAAATAGTAGACATTTGTAAATATAAAATCTAATCGAAACTAGTTGAGAACCCGTCTAAGAGCTATTTTTTGTGATTCCTTAGGATAGGGTGTGAATAGAGCGAATTATTGAACACAAATAAATAAAACCATAATATAATAACGATGTAGTAATTGTGTTTTATTGTGAAAGTTATTTAATTGTTATCCGACCTGCACAGACTGATTAGGAATTTCGTAGATTGTAAGGGGCTTGACGATGTACCTTAAATATTTACGCGTATAAGCGGATAAAAAGTATAAACAACAAAAAGTATTTACTATACTAAATTGTGGTCAAAGAACCAATTATTGTGGTTATAAAGTTTTATATGTAACAAATAAAGGCGATTGACATCCAATATTTTTTTTATACATATTAATCCTTTTTCCAAAAATTTGAATAAAAAATTAAAAAGATATCCTAATTTATATCATAAGTTTATTAATTTCTTGAAAGATCCTTATGGAAATATCACCAATCATTAATTAATGNAACAATTTTTCCATGATTTTCATTATTGCCAACAATATATTGAATAAAAAAAGTAAAAAAAAAGTTATTAGCGAAAATATATTTTCTACCCCAAACTTCTAACCCTTGTAAGTTCTTACAATAGTACTACCCAACGTATAAAAAAATCATCGTGGTAATTTGCACCAAAATCGATAAACAATTTTCGCAAAAAAGAATAATTTTTAGGGTGGTTAGGGTAGTTAAGCCACCCCTTAATGTCATATAGGGTTTATTTTACTGCATAAATCGTAATTTACATCTAATTAATGGTTTTCTTCAAAATATTGTTCNCAAGATCCAGCTTCCTTAAGATTTCCCTTGAGATGTTGTCGTATCCAGGGGCTGTGTTGGTTCCTCTGTTAAGAAGTGTGAAGTATTCTTCTTCCTGCATGAGAGCATCTTGAGGTGTTTCGGACGAATTGAGAAAGGCGTGTTGGTACCAATTGTCTATTGTGTTTCTGTTGTGAGGACAGAACAGGGCCTTATTGCTGAAGGAAAACACCCTCTCAAGGTATTCAACGTGGATATTTACGATTTTTTCCGGACTAGAGTATGAGCAGCCATCCGTAGGGTCAATAAGCTCGTGGGTTTCTGGGGACTTTTGGTACTTCGAAAGTTTGCGGACTTCTTGCCAGTAGTTTTTACCCTTGCTTCTGTTGATTTTATCACAGGCCTCAATGTATNTCGCGATGATGCGAACATTCGGTAATGAAAATCTGCCGCATTGTTTTGAGGATCCGCATATATTTTAACGGAGCACCGTTACATCGTGTAGAGAATATCAATAAAACGTATTACTGCCAAATATTTTGAAAGCAGTACCCATAGTCTGGCTAAAAAAAACAATAGGGCTCGGGGAAATCCCTATACTTTGGAGCACATTCAACATATCGTGTGTATAAAGGTAGCTGTGAAAGTGCGTTCGATGTAAATACATTGTGCTGTGAATGCTTAGAACAAGATGGGGAAATTAAAGAAATTTTTGCGTTTAAGGGAAAAAGTCAATATAATCGAAGAAGGTAAAAGAGGAATGTCAGTCATGAAATTATCTAAAAAATACGTAGTTTCAAAATCCACAATTTGTGGTATAAACAAAATTAAAAACTTATTGTCGACCTTGAAAAAGTCAGCGTTTCACGAAAAGAATACACGAATTTCGGGAAATATGCTGAAACTAAAAGCATTGTCATTATCAAAACAATTGAATATTGTTATTATTTTATANACAAATAAAGGCGATTGACATCCAATATTTTTTTTATACATATTAATCCTTTTTCCAAAAATTTGAATAAAAAATTAAAAAGATATCCTAATTTATATCATAAGTTTATTAATTTCTTGAAAGATCCTTATGGAAATATCACCAATCATTAATTAAAGTATCCTCTTTTTAATGCAAATTTTTGAAATGATCGAAAATTTTTTCAAATTTTGCAATTTTCGCCGATTAAGTTTTAAAAATTCTCGTTCAAAATGTAATTTTACGTTCTCTCTTCCCGAGAACGCTTCTACTGTTGCTGCGACCATCCCCAGTGACACGGGGGTAACGGTCATAGCTTGTGGGGCGGTTTCTGCCATGTTAATAAGGGTTAGTAAATATTCTGATTGGTATTAATGATTCGCGAATTAAACAAAATCTACTTTATCCCACTNATAAAGGCGATTGACATCCAATATTTTTTTTATACATATTAATCCTTTTTCCAAAAATTTTAATAAAAAATTAAAAAGATATCCTAATTTATATCATAAGTTTATTAATTTCTTGAAAGATCCTTATGGAAATATCACCAATCATTAATTAATGCAACAAACCGTTTTGAAAAATCGCTTTTAGTTTTTGAAAAATAAATTTTTGTTTTCGAATTTAACAATTTTCGCCGATTAAGTTTTAAAAATTTGTATAAAATCCAGTTCTTGAAATATGAGTATGAAAATTTCCCAAAGTGTTAATAAGAGTGTCTTTTTTCCAATGAACCAACACGTTTTGAAAAATAACTTCTAGTTTTTGAGAAAACAATATTTGAAGTTTTGATAAAATTTTCGATCTTACAATTTTCATCGATAACTTTCAAAATTAGCTATAAAACTCATTTTCACAAAAGTCGCATTTATACGTGTATCAATTTATGCGGCCTACATTATTACTGCTTAATTTAAAAGTGGCCTCTAATGTTAAAAAGGTTTCCTCACGTCTGGTGTAGTTTATGAGGCGTAATGTTGTCGATATTAGATTCAGCTTCTTTTTACATTTACTAGACACTGCTATTGTAAACTTCAAAGACTTCTGCTTTCTTTATTTTAATGCAAACTGAATCATATTGCAATTGGTGACTGTTTTACCTTCCTGCATCCTCCATTCCATAACCCTATTATTAGCCTTTCTACTACTAACAAGGGAAGTATCAGAACTGTCCCTCACCGATTTTGTTGAAATTTGGTACAGCGATAGTATGGCCAAAAATAAGGTTTACGTATTTTTTTATACGTGCTAATAAAGCCCCTGGGGCGAGTTATAAGGGTTGGAAATCGGNAAAGTTATCGATGAAAATTGCAACATCGAAAATTTTATCAAAACTTCAAATATTGTTTTCTCAAAAACTAAAAGTAATTTTTCAAAACGTGTTGGTTCATTGGAAGCAGGACACTCTTACTAAAACTTTGTGAAATTTTCATGCTCATGTTCCAAGAACTGGATTTTATACGAATTTTTAAAACTTAATCGGCGAAAATGGCAAAATTCTAAAAATTGTTGATCATTTAAAAAATGTATTTCTCAAAAACAAAAAGCGGTTTTTCAAAACGGCTTGTTACATTAAAAAGAGGGTACTTTAATTAATAATTGGTGATATTTCCACAAGAATCCATCAAGAAATGAATTTTATACCGAATTTTGAAAGTTGTCGATGAAAATTACAACATCGAAAATTTTATCAAAACTTCAAATATTGTTTTCTCAAAAACTAAAAGTTATTTTTCAAAACGGGTTGGTTCATTGGAAAAAGGACACTCTTATTAACACTTTGGGAAATTTTGATACTCATATTGCAAAAAATGGATTTTATACTAATTTAATAATTAAAAAAAAAAATTTAATAAAAAACACTTTCCAAATTAAGTTCAATTCATTTATTATCGACAATACATAAAATAAAGAAAAAAGATATCTGTAGTATTTCTGATATATAAACTATTTATATATATTTTTATAATTAATTAATCAATTAATCTAAAGTTTAAATACTTTGTCAATTCTAAAGGATAACTACGACATTAGAGTTCTTCATTTATAATTTACAGTATCTATATACACTATGCGATTTCAAAACGATAAAAAAGAATTGAAAATTGAGATTTTCTCCATCCATGTTAAATTCCTCGAAAATGTTACTTAATATTATAAAAACAAAAACTGGAATAATTCCATGTCATATATTGCTGGTAATTAAAAGAAAAGCAAAACTAAGGAATGTTAAGATAAATAATTAAAATTTTACAAAATGTGTTTCAATTGGTCATAAGAAAATAATTAAAGTCGTTAAAGTAACAAAATAGTCAATTAATTATCATAACGTTTTAAAAGATTTTGGTCCATGCGTTTATGTTTCTTTTCAGGCGTTTGTTTAATTAGTATTGCTTCTTCTTTTTAAAGACGTACGTTTTTAAATTCTAACAATTGATAATATATGTATAATAAAAATCCATATTTATAAAATACACATGAAAAATAGGTCTATAACTTTTTTTATATTATATATTACAATATACATATATAGAATAATAATTATTAGCTTTTTCTTTGTTATAACCTTTTTAAAATCTTTAAAATCTCTCTTGTACATTCGTAAAATCTTATCAGATTTTATAATATAATCTTTAAACATAGCAATTTAGTATTTATTCTTTCATTTTAGTTTTAATCAATTTAAGTAGTAATAAGATATGTTTATTAACATTTATAGAGATCACTACTGAATTAATTAATTTTTTTAAATTATTTATACAATATATGTATTGTGTATGTACGTAATTGTTCCTTTAACAGATTTCTTCTTTTTTTTTGTTTGTTTTTTTTTTTTTTTCATCATTCGCCTTAAAATCGTTGTAACAATTATATTATATTAATTTATTTTTCTTCTTAATTGGACGGTTATATACCTAAATAGTAGTTTATATTTTTTATTTAAGAAATTGCTCCAAAGAACAAAGAAGGCTGCATCAGTTGAATCCCTTATGTTTGCTCATTGGTCTCATCAAATCCTGAAAAAAACAGGTCACAGAAAATTCCCATAATTTTTTTTTCCTATTTTATCTCGACGTCACAAACATTTACAAAACATGTATAAAACATTTACAAACATTCAATCCCCTTTTTTTCTCTTAAGCAGACGAAGACAAAACGGTAAAAAGAAACAATTAAAATAAAAAAAAAGACAAAGAGTAAGAGTCTCAGTGGACTAGGCTCGAGTTTGGCGACGCCAAATTGTCGATCTCGCGCTGCGCCCTCGATATTTTACTTTTGTCTTTCGGCGTACCAGCCTCTCCCGTTTCCATTGCGAACATTTTCATCTTTTCCTTAAATGATAGCTTTTCCGGTATCGGCGCCTGCGCTTTCTGTTGTGCCTGTTCAGCCAAACGACGCGTTCTTGGATCTTTGTACACCTCTTGGGCCCCAATCACACCGGGAGTCGCCGTCGATATCGCACTTTCATTTGGTGTTGTAGGTGATGCCAACATTGTTTCAGCTTGACGAATAAAACTCTAAAAAAGAAAAGTATAAAATAATATCTAATTAATACAAAAATAGCTTACATTTGGATCTTCCCTAATAGTTTCTTCTAATTGCAAAGTTTGCGGTGGTTGAGGAACGGCTGTTGAAGTATCGAAAGACACCCTTTTAGTCCCTTCTTTATTCCTCATTGACATAACTGTATAACTAGATCCTCGTTCGGGTGGTGGAGGTGCTTGAGGTTCTTGTTGATGAATTGGGGGTGGAACGTAATTATTGACTTGAGCTACTCCCGGTTTTAAAATTGACGCAGGTGGTTCTTGTTTTTGTGGTGGCGTTGGTAGCACTACACTCGTCGCTTGTTGAACGTTAGAAGAGGTTAAAGCTGAGGATGTAGAAACGACCGGAGGATTTAAAGCCGAACCGGAAGGAACCGGACTTTCTTTCTCTGTATCGTCGTCTTCTTGCTCAGCTTCTTCTAAAGCACGCCTTTGAAAATCTCTTTCCAATTGAAGCACCCGTAGGTGTTCCTCTTGTTGTTGCGTGCGATTTGGCGTCGACATTAATTCTTTAATTTGTTGTTCGCGGAATAAGCGGGCTTGTTCGCGACGAATTTCCGCTTGGCGTTCTTGTTCTTCTCTGGCCCAAGGATCCCCTCGTGATGATTTTGAATGAACTTGTTGTGGAGGTGAGTACAAAGACATTTTTGGTGGTTCTTGACTGCTTGCTGAATATAAAGGATGAGTACTAGTCGGCGGAAGTTCTGGGGGATCATCCATTTTTCGCAATGGTTTCGGCGCAATTGGTGGGTTTTTAACGTAATTTGGTGAAGTTGCGTTTTGATAATAATAATTTTGAGTGGAAAGATTTAAATTTTGCATACTCTGAGTGTTTTGAGCCATTTGAACGTGATGAGGAGGTGACACCACGTAATTATGTACGTTTTGATTTTGATAAAATTGACCGTGTTGCGGATATTGATTACTCCGATTTTGTCTTCTACGGACTTCTTCGCCCATTTCTACTAATTTCGCTTGACCCCTCATGTTATTACCTTTAGCATCGTTGTTTTGATAAATTTCTTGTTGTTGCCGTGGGGAATCTATTTTATCTTTTATGTTACCACTGCTCGCGTATCGATACATATCGTTACTATTTGCGTATTGTCTCAACATATCTTCACTTTTCGACGTTCTCATTTCGGTATTTCTTGAAAAATCTTCCTGGCGGTTAATCAAGTCTTGCGATTTACTCGGTTGTATTTGCGCTTCTTGAATTCTCACATTATTCGAACTGGGATACCTCATCATTTCCTCGTTGTTTCCGCGTCCCATATCTCTCATCGCAGCTATATGTCTATAATCTTCCCGCAACAACCCGGTGTTATATCTATTCATCTCTCGTTGTTGTTGCAAATCGTTTTCACCATTTGCGTTTATATGCAGCGGTTGCTGAACCGGATAATTAGAATGCGGATACGTTTGATAATTTTTATTATGTTGTTGTTGATCTTCGTACCCACGGTAATTATTAATCGATTGATTATCATATTGATACTGATTAGTAGGTACAGGTTTTTGCTGATAAGGGTGTTGCTGTTGTTGATGATGATTTTGATACGGCTGTTGATGGTGGTTTTGATACGCTTGCTGTTGTTGTGGGGGGTTATAATTCGGATATTGTTGCTGTTGAGCTATTTGTTGATTTATCGATGGGTACGAACTCGTCCTTTCTTGCGAACTCTTTAAATTCGGTATTGATTGGTGTAAGGGAAGGCGATTCGTTGTTGTATTTGGAACCGTTGAATTTGGGTAATAAGCCGAAGCTGGTCTTTGTGCATTTGTTATATTTGATTGAAGAGAATTTTGAGAGCTTCTTAATGCTGAAGTTCTAAACAAAAAATATATTATGTTAATAATAACTAAAAACGTATGCTAATATTTTTAATAAGTTTAACTAATCTCTGTACAGATTTCGCAACTGTTACTATAAATTTACTTTTTCTGACGACACTAAATTAAAATCAAGTTATCATGGATACTAACTATTATGAAATGAAGGCAATAACAATAATAAAAGAAATTTTTGTTAAAAACTCATTCAAATGTCATTAAGAAGTGTTTATCAGTGACTATAGTCTTAACTAGATTAACTGTCTAGTTAAAGTTATGATCAATGTTCAATTTGAAAAAATTCTGAGAAATGTAAACGAAAAAGAAATGATGTGAACTAATACCAGATATATTCTTAATCGATTACAACTTTTACATATAATAATAATAATAATAATGTTTATTCACCAAAATCGAGGTCTTAAAGGTAGAAAATGAACAACTAAAAAGAGACAACGTCTCGCTCGCCGAAAAAATTGATGAATTGGAGCAATACACGCGTCGCAACAGTGTGCGTGTATTCGGAATACCTGAGAGCAATGATGAAAACCCGGAGAGAGCGGTGGTATCCATATTTAATAGTCAATTGGGGCTATCAGTTAATACCGAAAGTATCGACAGATGTCATCGTGTTGGTTCGCGGAATAAAAATCGAAAAAATCCACGTCCGATAATAGTAAAATTTGTTAGCATGCTGGATTTTAGTAGCACATATACAGAGAGGTTTAATACGCTTTTAGAAGAGTTATCCCTTTCTCAGATGATAAATTCTCCTACCCGTATCACCACAAACTCGAGTTCCTTGATTGACTGTTTGATCACTAACAACCCTGACGGTTGTATTAACCAGGCAAGCATACCGATGCATATGTTAGACCATAATCTTGTTCAATGTGACATTACTATTTCTGATTCAAGGCCCATTCCGATTACCAAATTTTGTAGACCTATATCAAACATCGATGCCTATAGTCTGAAGGGTCATTTATCCCGGTTACCACTCCATGCAATCTATCATATAACTGATGTTAATCAGAAAGTACTTTTTTTAAACACTCATCTTTTGGCACTTCTAGATTTTCATGCACCGGTTCGGTCACTCAGATTACATAGGCCATTTGCACCATGGTTAACGGACACAATAAAACTAATGATGTCGCTGAGGGATAGAGCCTTATCTCGATATAAAAGAACTAAATTAATAGCGCACTTCGACTACTACAAGTCCTTACGCAATTTAACGACTTCTGCAATACGACGAGAAAAGAAATCTTTCTTAAATAGTACATTTGTGACTAGTGATGTAAAGAGTAGTTGGCGGCTGTTATCCAAGTTGCAGATTGTCAACAGGTCCAAACCCACTGTTCCCGCACATTTAGATGATGTTGGAAATATTAATGATTATTTTGTGAATTCTGTTGGTTATGCTGATGTGGATGATGATTTGCTCACTTTTTATGGTACAAATATGCTTTACCCAAATTCCCATGAGAGATTTTCGTTTGGACTCAGTGACACCTCTTCGATCATTAAAATTTTAAATGGCATTAAATCAACATCTTCTGGTATAGACGAATTGAACATCACATTTATAAGAATGTGTCTCCCTGAAATATTGCCCTACATTGTACATATTATAAATACCTGTCTTGAACAGTCTATTTTCCCGGAAGCCTGGAAGATTGCTTTGGTAATGCCGTTGCCTAAAAAACCAAATCCAGCAGGTTTGGCGGACCTGCGTCCAATTAGTATCCTGCCAGTTATCTCAAAAGTCCTTGAAAGGTGCATGGAGGTCCAATTGCGTAAATATATTAGTGATCATAACATCTTGCCCACCTCTCAGTCTGGTTTTCGACCTAACCATAGCTGTACAACGGCTCTATTAAAGGTAACAGACGATATTATTAGAGCTCGTGATGGCGGTCTATGTGGGATACTTGTACTGCTGGACTACAGTAAGGCCTTTGATAAGGTTAACCATTCAATGCTTTTAGCTCTTCTGCGCTATGTTGGTCTGTCCGACTCAGCGGTTTTGCTTTTGGAAAGTTTCCTATCCAATCGTGCTCAGATAGTAAAATTGAACAATGTATCTTCATCATCACTGCCTGTGAGAGTGGGAGTGCCACAGGGGTCTATTCTGGCTCCTTTATTGTTTTCCTTGTATACACCCCAGTTGCCTAAGTGCATTCAATATTCGTCGATACCCATGTACGCAGATGACACCCAAATTTACATAACCTTTCCAAAGGAACACCTCGCTTCTGCTTGCTCAAAAATAAATGCAGATCTGAACGCTATTTTAGATTGCTCGCACAAGATGGCACTAACTCTCAATGCCACTAAATCTAAGGTAGTCATCTTTGGTAACTTGGACTCTGATAGTGTCGGTATATTTTTGGGTGGAGAGAGGCTGGTAGTGTACCCTGAGTCAAAAAATCTGGGTGTGCTTGTCGACAGCAATCTGCGATTCAGCGGTCATGTCACTGCTTGCGTAAGAAAGGCATATGGTGTTCTTAGATGTCTCTATCAACACCGACACATTTTAAATATAATTACAAAGAAACGTTTGTGCGAAACACTTGTTCTGTCAAATTTTGTGCATTGTGCTGCCATGTATGGTCCATGTTTAACTGGGTATGAACTTCATCGTATTCAAAGGGTTCAAAATAGCTGTCTTCGTTTTATGTATGGCGTTCGTAAGCGTGAAAATATTAGTCACACATTGGTTACTGCAAAATGGTTAAATATCAGAAGCAAATTCAAACATCAGTTCTTGTGTCTTGTCCACAGGTTAATTACTACGGGGACTCCACCTTACTTATATAATAAAATCACTTATAGGTTCGATGTTCATAACTTGAATCTTAGACACAAAAATACTATCGCCGTTCCTGCTCACAGGAAAGTCCTTTTTAGGCGCTCTTTTTCATATAATGTGGTTAAGGAGTATAATTCCTGTCCTCCTGAATTTAAAAATAAAAGTCTATCCGTTTCTAAAGTCAACTTGCGTAACACCTTGTTTCGGCTTCAGATGGGTCAACATAATCCTTATGCTGCCTCAGTGCTCTGACATTGGGTTGTTATCTATTTATTGGTTATATAGGGAATCATTTGAACTGATTAATTTAATTGCGGAAAACAATTGAATATGTAATTATTAGTCGTTCTCAACTCTAGGTTGAGTTGGCCCAGTGGACTCCGCCTATTGGCCGCAGATTGTAATTAGTTTCACATATAGAATGAATTTTTCATTTTTTTTTTTCTTTTATATTATTGTTTAACTTTTTTATGTTGGTTGTTGCGGTCAATAATGTACTATTATTATTATTATTATAAGTATAGTAATAAAACAAATTAACTTTGTTACTCCACAAACTGATCCTGCATATAATCAGACCATACATAGTAGGCTTTCTTGACCAGATTAGACTTCACATATTTTTTAAAGTGTCCTCGTTCCATAGTTTTGATTTCTTCTGGCAACTTGTTGAAAAATTTACCTCCCCAGAAATCTGCATATCTTTTAGTTGCTTCTATCCTATGTAACGGTAATCTCATTTCATCTTTGCCTCTTATGTCGTGTGTGAAAGTTTGCATTCGCATTAAATTTACTTCTATTGTCATAAACATACATCAAAGTAGCCAAAATATATGCACTTGGTACGGTAAGTATACATTCTGTTTTAAATACATCTTTGCAGCTGTCAGTAGTGTTAAGATTGCACAAAGCTCTCACCGCTTTCTTCTGCAAACCAAAAATTCTTCCTAAGCCATCCTTGCAACAGCATGAAAATTTGCAAAATGGGGTATTTTGGCTACTTCATGAGTATGTGGATTCCATGTTAATTTGGGATCAAGAGATAAACGCAAAAACTTCACCGCGAGTAAGTTTGAGGGTAATTTCATATCAATGACAATTGGTTCTGTATAATTTTAATTTAGTTTCAGGCAGTTGTTCGTGAACCCCTCCTTTGAAAGAGTTAAAGCAGCGGAGTACTTTAAAGGTAGTAATGGCTGATCAGCATCTTTTATTAATACGGAAGTGTCATCTGCGTAAATACTTATATCCTCACGAACATTAAACGGTAGATCATTAATGTATGTTACGAATAACAAAGGATCCATTTTATTAGTTTAGATGTTCCAGACGTATTATTTTCCCAAAAAAACATATTGCTGCCTACCCACAAGATATGATCTAAGGAGATTTAGTTCTTGGCCTCTAATACCATTAAAGTATAATTTTCTCAATATTATATCGTGACTCACCGTATCAAACGCTTTACTTGAATCACGTGCCAAAAGAAGGAATTATGCTTGATGTAGAGATAGCTATTGGCAAGATTTCAGCGGAAAAAGTTAAAGTAATTCGTCAGGACATAGCAAGATTGCTAAAAACAGCTAAACCACCAAAATCTAAGTTGACAGTCATCCTGCCTGCACATAAAGGTAATGCTACCGTGGTGATGGACAGAAAGGAACACGAGACCAAGAAAAACGCTGTAATGGATCCAAACATCTACCAGAAAATTAAAAAAAATCCCACGAATAGAATACTTAGGACCAGAGGTATCCAGATATGACCAGAGGTTCAGTTTGGTGTCGCCCTGAAAAACCAGTTCTTGGAAACAAATGATATGGCTACGATACGTGGATGACACTTTTATCATCGGAAAAACGGCAAAGGCTTGAGGATTACTAAAGCCATTTAAAAAGCCAGCATCCAATGATAAAATTCACCATAGAAGAAGAAAAGAACAACCAGTACCATTTCTCGATGTAATCAGGACCAATGATGGACAACTCAAACAACTTTATCACATCACCACACACAACAGAATATGTCCGTAATTCACACCCTTCCCCAAAGAGTCAGAAGATTGTGATGAGTCAAAGATGACAAACAACTAAAGAGGACGATATCAAGGTGAGAGATATGGAATAGTCAGCAAATTACGGAACGCATTGTAGATAGCAAACTTGCGTCGTTAAAAGGGTCAGGAGTCGCAGAATATTCCCATACGGCACGATACCATAAAATATATTTCGATAAGAAAAAAATGGCAGGAGCTATCACTACCATCACAGGTGGACCAGAGATGCCGGGGAAATAAGAACTGAGCTGACTAGAATGATTTTATTAGACTCGATGAAAAAAAAACAATGTTTCCATAAACACTGGCATAACCCGGAACATTCTAGTTTTAGTTTATAATCATGGAAATAATAGAATGATAAGATAACGTTAAATTACATAAATAGATTTAAAATATACTAGATGAGTCAATATTCCCTACCCAGCGTACTTCTAATGTAGTATGTGCAGGAGTCCCATCGTGTTGAAAAAATATTGTTGCACATTGTTATAAACGAATGTTCCTGGCGAAATGTAATCTCAAAAATTATAGTTAGTAATCTTATTTTCTAAGAATTCCAATTCAAACATTTACCATCATAAAAATTTTCATAGTATTCTCAATAATGATGGTTGCGGTGATTCAAATATACTTGTTGACTGAAATGCGCTTCATGGATAACCAAAATATTAAGGAAAAAGTCAGAATTGTGATGAATTTCGTATAAGGATCATGCACATTTATTCTAAATAGATAATCCCCGGGATGCAGCATTCAAACAGGTTGAAGATATAGATTGACGTTACATATTAGAAGACGTCTATAATCAGATGATTCAGTGTAGATTCTTGACAACAGACGTATACTGGGGGTAGGATTATTCACAACTTCTTGTGGTAACTTTTCTTCTTATTGCTATGAATTTTCGGGTCCATCGGCGTACAAAGTATATTTTGAAGCGATCTCTACATTTTGAATCGTTTTGTAAAAGGAGTACTGTGACTATGGTTTCGAAATCGTTCTCTATACAAACGTTGGCTGCACGGAAGTTATCATTATAAGCGCTTAAAGTTTTTATTATACAGGTGTCTCCGAAATGCGTGTACAACCTCAGATTCCTTGGCTCAAAATAGGTCGATTTAAGTTATCTATATCCAAATTGCTTCGTCCATATTAGAAAGAAGATGAAAAAGAAATTTGGAGACTATGCAATAGGACCACCTTGTCCTATGCTTTGTTAGGAAACTCATTGTTTATATGATCCCAAGTGGCGCGGTATGTCAGGTGAGTTACTATCTTACATAAACCAAATATTCAGTATCAGATTTAACTGATACTGAAGAGATTTAATTAGAGGTATGCACGACCTGTTCATCAATATCATCATCATGCCTAACCCGTTGTTTGGAATGAAATGCCATTAAGAAGCAAGGCAAAACAAATCTGAGGAGCTGAGGAGCAGTGTAATCGTTTTGGTTTAGGTAATACAGGGTTTGCTTAGCAAAAACCGCAATGAATGCTTAGATAAACTTACAATTACATGTTGTATCTCGTTGGAATGCAGTAATTTACGACATTTCTTTCCTTTACTACAGAAAGGTCATAAATACACACCGCAATACGGAGGAAAGCCATTTGAAGTAATAGAGTCTTTAAAAAGTAATCTGCCAAACAAATACTTTATACAGAAAATATTCTTCGAAATTGAACCTAACCGAAATTTTTGTAATTTAATTTTTCGCATCTGTTATTATCATAGCAAACAAAAGAAAGGAATGTATTTTATTAGCAGACTAATAACACAAGTGTTTAGAAATTCGTGCAGAATGCCATCATTGCCATGATGATTCACTCCAAGACACCGATCAAGCTTATGGTCGATGACAAAATCATACTCCTTCTTCTTATAGTGCTTATCCGGGCCGGAAGTTGGCGATTATTCTAGTTGTCACAACCTTGTTTACTGCTACACGGAATAGTCCTATTATTGTTGTTGAAAACGTCTTAAAATTCTTGTGCCATGAATTTCTCCGTCGGTCCAGACCACGTTTCGCAGGAATCTTACCCTGCAATATGTTTTGTAACGAGGTAACCGAAGTATTTGAGTTTGCAAGCTTGCCTTTCTTCATTCTTCCACAGATTTCTTTTTTAGATACATGTTCTAGCCATGAAATTCTTCAAATTCTGCGATAAAGCCACATTTAAACAGTTGCCAATTTTTTGGTAGTTGCTTCCGTCGAGGTCCATGATTCTACTCCATACAGCACGACAGAAAAGACGATCTTAAATGCTGATGCCATTTTGACAAATATGGCTCTGGCTTTCTCTATTATATAGCAAATCAAATCTCAAATATTAAGGTAAGCTGGATACATTATAAGAATGCACAAGGAAAGAGATATTATGGAGGACGATAGCAAAATTCTGGAGATCAAGAATTGGAAGACGGTGGATGAAAACCGAAAGGATGATAGTAGCGGAAGCCAAAGGCTGGTTATCTCATCAGCAGATGTACCAATTAAAGAAGGTAATTTGCGAGAAGTTGTGAGATTATCTCTCTTTGGAGGACAATGCTATCAAAAATATAATTATATGAAGAATTATAAGAAGAGCTTGTGTAGAGCATTCACGCCACGACAGCTTGTTTTGTATTAATAAGTGATAATTATATTTTAATGTTCTAGGTATTCCAGGTTTCTTAGACATTTGGCATAAATATTGCTGCTTTAAATATTGTATTAAGATAATAATAAACTTTTCTTGTTGTATACTGCCCTCCACTTGTGCTCTACAGAAAAAATAAGAGTTTTTCAATGAGACTTTTTTCTCATTGCCCACCTTGCAATAGAGAAAAACAGTTTTTTGATTCATTAATAAGGATAACATTAAGCTAGCCAGGGATGTTTTGCATCTGCTGGTCGACATAAATAAAAAACGTCCGGATTTGATATCCACAACGCAAATAAGACCATTTAGACGATTCTATCGCAACTCAATAATCATTAAAACGAAGAAAGACGCAAATACTAATGACATAAAAAACTGTAGCAACAAATAACATGCAATGTGGGAAATTATTCATGGCAACAATCCTTTTATTTATGACCGCTCTACCAATATGTTGACTGCCACAGAATTGAACATGTATTTGGACAATGTGGCTGAAAATATCAACGCCGCTGTTTCTAATCCTTCTGATGACTCTTTTTTGAATTCCTCTAACCTTCATCCAAATTTATTCATCCTAATAACTTTTAATGAATTATTGGGCGTTGTATTCAAATATTTTTGTATTCCACTTTAAAGATGTTGAAGATGTTAATAAATTAGTAAGCAATTAGTAAGCTGTAACTTCATTTTCTGAATAAATATATAATTTGGACAAATAAATCTGCACTTTATAGATTCCTTTGTGATTAATCTCTATTTATATTCTAAAGATTGATTGTAGCAACAACGTTACCAGCACATGTTTTACTTTCATTTAAGGATAGCTGAAATCGTTCTTTCATCACATTTCTAAATCTAATTGTAAGTAAAACGAATACATAAAAATTTCAACTTACCTATCTCCTAATTGTTGACTACCTTGCGGAATTTTATTCCTATAAACACTTAAATTCTGATAAAATCCACCATCCTGTTGAAGTAAATTATGCGTAGATCGGCTTCTAAGATTATTAACACCAGCGGGGCCGCCACCGTTTTGCCCAACGCTAAGCGTTTGAGGAGCGGTACCGTTGTTGTTAGCGTTATTAATGCTGTTATTTGATGAAGTTCGACTGTAACCGGGATTGAAGACGTCATGGTGATTAGTTGCGCCGCGAGTTGGTTGTTCCGCAGCATTCGGAGAGATGTGATGTAGAGCCGGAACGGACTTTGATGACGGTATTGTCCTTTCCGCGTCCACTCGCGAAGGTAAATCACGTTCAGACATTCGACGTGGACCTAAAAAATCACAAGAATTTATAATAAAACATATAAAGGTATAAATTTAAATTAATAAGAAGCAAATTAAGAACGATGAATGCAAATAAATTCAAATCTAAAATAAAAGTAACTAAAACTATATACATGTATAGATTTAACAGGGTTAATAACATATTTTTATAATAAGAAATAAAAAGAAAAATAATATAAATCGGGATGAATTAAAAAAAATGCGACGTTTTCATTCACATTGATTACCAATGTAAACGTCGTCAAATGAAGCGTACTTTGTGCCAGCGGACTCCTCCAAGCTGCCTTTAGCGGAGACGTCGGCACAGCTCCTTGTCATTCGTCTCGAAGAATCGTCGTGGCTCTTCAAAATGGGACACGTCACATTAGCGTTTTTACAACATTTCTTAATTACCCTTTGACGATTTTTAATATCCGAACAACTTTTCCATGTTTTTGGATAAATTTTTGTTTTTAGAACGATCGTTTTTGCTTTATTTTTGCGTTTCGGCGATTCATTTGCAAACGTTTTAAACATTTCAATTGGTTTGCGAACGATGTACGATTCAGGAAACTTTTTTTTATTAGTATTAGAAATATCGGAAAGTCTTTCGAGGCTTCCGTAACGAATTAAAGTCTTTTGGAACGACGACGGTTGTTTCGTCGAATTTGTTTCAATAATTTCGCTGTAACGACGCGGCGTTTGCCGTAAAAAAATTGGTCCTTGTTTTTGTAATTGGTCGTTTAAAGTTTCGTCACTCGATTTTAAAATTCCTTTCAGTTTTTTTGGTGTTGTAGAGGTTATTTCTTTATTATCTAAAGTAGTTTGGTTATTTTTTAAATATTGAGCTTCTTTACAAGTTACGTTTTGATTTTTTTCTGTTTTTTGAAAATTTTCTTTGATGTTATTAATTATATTTTGTTTTGGTCCCGAAAAATCAAAGTAATTTGAGTTAAAAATACAATTCCTATATTGACATTTGTGCATTATATCCAAATTATCAACGTTTTGATTCGTTTTACTAACATCGTTGTCACTTTTATATTTTGCAACGTAAATTAAGTTATCCCTTATCAATTTATTCCTTGTACCCGGTGATAAATCAGGCGCGGAATGATATTGTTTATCAATTTTCTTCAAGTTACAATTATAAAACTTTTTATAATCGTCTGAAGATAAATTCCTTTGCTTCTTCTTCACGTTCTCATTATCTTCCTTTTTAAAATCTTTGCAATAATCGCAATCCTCAAACAAATTTTCTTGTGAAAATCTCACCGATTTTTTATTATTTTCTTTGTATTTTTCTTTTTCAAGATCTAATTCTTCAGGATTAATCCCTTCCGATCCATTAACGCTCCAATCTTGCAACAACCTCGCCAAATAATTCATTTCCCTTTCTGTTAAATCTGAATTTAACTCCCTAGCACTTTGACTCCACTTTTTGTTATCACCCAAATTTTCTTCAATTATCTTTTCATTTAAATTCGGAACACTAACAGCGTTGGAAATATTATTACAAATTTTCTCTTTACCATATTCAAAGCTATCAATTAAATCCCTAACATGACCCTGTCTTATTTCATCCGGTGATTTCCAATATTTCTGCTTTATCTCAGCGTTAATAATACTTAAATCCAACGTCGATTCATTAATAACGGTGTTAATACTCGACGTGGAACTGGAAAGGTCTTGCAAAGACCCGGAAATCTGCTTTAAACGTTTACTATTATTTCCGATCGTTAAATAAGCATCTCCGGCATCAAAAAATTCAGCATCACTACTTTGATCATCGTTTGCTATATCCAAAGAATAACTTTTTTGTTGGTAAAAATTCTTTTTGTTACTTCGCGGAATTTCATAACCCAACGGTTTGAATTCATCTTCGTACTCAAATGTGACATCCTTCGGATCAGGATCGCTAAAATCGGTTATTTGGAGCTTAAATTCCGGCTCGTCGCTGGAACTTTCGATTTCTATTCGGGGAATTGTTAATTTTCGTGTTTCCGTTTTATAAAGGTTATCATCCGAGTTGAAGAAAACGTTATTTTTCGGTTTTGTCACGGGGGGAGTGTAGATTCTGTATTGAGAGGGGTCATCGTAAAGATATTCTTGAGAACCATATGGATAATCCATAAAATCCGAGGCTGCTTGTACATAAGTAATAAAAAAAAATTGGATTTTCTAGCAATACAAAAGTTGATTTAAAGTTAATTAAAATCTATAAAAATCAACCTAGATTTTTTACATTTTGGTACAAACTTATTAAGTATGAGTTATTTATTAAATTTATTTTTATTGAATTTTCTGAACCATTTTAACAATAATAATAAACAGATTATAAGTAAATAAACAAGGTGTCAATTAAGTACTCAATGATAAGATTTTTTTGCACTTAAACTAAGAAAATTTTCAAAATGAAATTTCAAACAATGCAGAATTTCCAAAAGAATATTATCAATTAAGTTTGGTCTAAAGAGCCAGTGCGGAAACAGGACACTTTCAAGTGATTATAACAAACAACTTAATAAATTAAATAGTACCAACACTTAAAGCACGAGAGCTTTTAAAAGTTCATTTTTGCAAAAGAGATATTAGCTCTTATTGGAATACTAGTGCTGATGGCTAGTAAGATAACGTTCTGATTTGATGAGAAGTCTATATACATTCTTCAGTCTATATACACCATGACCTTGGACTGACCCTGGAGCCTACAGATATTCAGAGTTAGTTTATGACATGTTCGATATGTTCGCCATGAGTGGCTAGAATGTGACGCAGAGGAACAGCAAAATTGTGCAAATCTTGCTGAAGTGTCAAGACTTCCTGAATAACTATTTTCAACTATGCGATGGCTTCCGGATTATTTGCGAACTTTGGCTATATTATTCAATTGGTCTGTAGCTATCTGAAACCCAGACTGAGTTGTCCAAAGTGCTCTTCGAGGATTAGTAGTCTTTTGTTCCGATGAGGTTATGTCCCTGCTTGAATGAACCACCTCTTTTTGAAATTTCGGACATAAGAGAAATGAGAATATTTTCTAAAATTTTCACAAATAAAGTTATCGTGCTTTCAATTAATATGGCAGTGCTTTTTCCACTACTTGGCATTGCACACCAAATGGTTATATCTATTTGGGTTGGATAGAAGAATTTTCAATTCTTTAAATATATCTACAATAGTGTTAGCAAAATAATAAATGTTGATCAAAGGCAACGATGCTTTAGCATTTTGTAACAAAAGAGCTTTAACTCTTGGAAAATAATTAAGAAATAAAAGACAATAACTTCTTTCTTGCTTTTTTATATTAAATTTCCTCGGCACCGGTTTCGACTAAACAGTCATCCTCAGCCGAATCTACATATAGGTTAAAAATAATTACATAAAAACTTAATTCTATAATTATTAAACTTACGGTCAAATAAAATCTATTTATGAAAAATTGAGCACATCATATTGAAATAAATCTTGCATAAAACATTTTTTTAGTGAAAATACTGGAAGTCAAACGGGACGAAAGTTGGGTAACAGAATAAGTGAGCATGGATATAAAACCACATCCAATGTTTATAAACATTCAATCAGTACAGGGCATAAAATTGATTATAAAAATATTAAATTATTACATAGGGTTGATAAAGGTTTCAAAATGGACCTTCTGGAGGCATATGAAATAACTAAATTTTCGAAAAATGATAAATATACGTTGTTAAATGATCAACTAGGTTTAAAGTTTACACCCCTTTTTAACGTTCTCCAAAATTCATAATTTATTTCGATTTTCTACATTTTTATACATTCAACTCTACACACATTTTTATATATTCCCTCTTTATGATTTGCATGTCAATTTTAGTATTTCGCGCATACTCCGTCCTCCGTCTTTCGTAATTTTTTCACCAACTCCATATGTCATCGTCTTTTCGTTTTGATATCATGTCGTGTCCGTGTTTTTTAAATTTTTCATTTTAATCTGTTAACATCCGTTTATTAAAGTGTTTTTATCCTTTTACTTTATCATGTAAGTGGTCATTTCTTGCTGTTTTGTCAAGTTTTACATTTATTTTTTCTATTCTAGTTTTACTTATCTCAAAAAAAAAAAAAAGCGTAACATAACCCTATTTTGGATTTTGAATCCCTCTTCTTTGAACTTGACTTCCAGTATTTTCACTAAAAAATGTTTTATGCAAGATTTATTTCAATATGTGCTCAATTTTTCATAAATAGATTTTATTTGACCGTAAGTTTAATAATTATAGAATTAAGTTTTTATGTAATTATTTTTAACCTATATGTAGATTCGGCTGAGGATGACTGTTTAGTCGAAACCGGTACCGAAGAAATTTAATATAAAAAAAAAGCAAGAAAGAAGTTATTGTCTTTTATTTCTTAATTATATAAAAATCTTGCAACATGTATTCTATCACATTCTTGGAAAATAGTCAACTGGGAGAAGTTGATCTAACCTGTTAGGAAGTACGTCTAATCTATATCTTTAAGTGATGTGTCCACTGATATTGTATGATTTAAGATCATTTTCAACGAAAAATGAACAACAAAATGCAATGATGGTAAAAAAAGTTGGTTTTCCATTGTAATCCACATCCGATTGTAATCCGCATTTGATTTTAGAGCATACAAAATTTGTAAAAAGGGTGCGGATTAGATTCGAGAAAATACGGTAGTTTCCTATAGTCTTCGTGTATCAAAAATATATATATAATACTCATTAATTATATGGATGCCAAAATTATCTTGTGCAAAATGTGATAACAATTATGGTGCCTTTGTGCCTCTTGCATATAAAGTAACCTGGTTCTTATAAAAATGTGTTCATTTTAAAGTACGTTTGAAGATGAAATCATATTTAATAGACTATATACGACATAAGATACATTACTATTTTAGTAAACTATGTTATATTGTTATATAAAACAAACATAAAATTATATAAAATCACTAATTATTATCATTCTTTATTAAGTCTAATCTTTACGTGCAAAAAAATCATCAAGGAAAGGAAGGTCCTTTACTAGGAAAGCACTGCCGTCGAAAAATATGTGTAAATATTTAATCTGTGATGAAAATTTTCGAAATATGGAATCCCTAACAAAGAGTAGACTTGCCTCATTAGCTAGCTTTTTTCGTAAATTATCGCGGTAAATCTTCGATTGGAATTGAAGATAAAGAAAAATTGTGCCTATAGTCTGAAAACACATTTTTTTTGCATTCCTATAATGAACATTTTGTTCTGTATCATGCGTTTATCGATCTTGAATTTATTTTTATTTCTATAGGAAGTTCACGTACAACATGTATCAAATTGTGCCAACTTGTTTATTTTTATCACCTATACGCCATACACATGAAGTAAATAACTGTGAAACAAACTTCAAACCAAATATTCTTTTTCCTTGACGGTTTAGATAAAATCAATCGAAAATATAGTTGCCAAAGACCTACTAGATAATAGCCATTTACATTTTGAAATTGAATTATTTGGATATAGTAATATAGTATGTAATTAAGTAGTATCTGAAAGCACTCCTGATGGTGCTAAAAATGTTTCTGTCAAAAGAAAATAAAAATGTTCTATAATACTAATCTAAAAATAAATAAATCGGAGAGCATCAAATGTTGAACAAGATTGGAAGGGGATACAAAATAACGTAAAACAGCAATAAAATTGAAAGTATAGATAGAGTATAAGATAAAACCTCGATTATTGTGGTATTCCCCTATTGTAGTCTGTTTCTGCATTTGCGTAATTTGAATAACGTAATTTTCTCTCTTTTCTATACGTAAAAATGCTGATATTAGTCAACATTATCGGCGAGTGTAAACGGTTTCTATTCGTTGTTAGCTAATAGATAAAGATAGATAAAGATAGATAATAGATAAAGAAAAATTTAAAAAAACATGTTAATCATTGAGAGAAGACCATATTGAGCCAGGTAGGTAATAAAAATTCATTCGGTACTCCAAAATATCTGTACAAAACATGTGTTGTGACAGCAACTGTTTCAAAATTTTTATAAAAATTAAAAGTTTATGCTACCGAGTGCGATTCGTTGGAAGAGTTACGCCAGCGCATTATTGATGAATGCAGGATAATAACTCCTGAAATGTTGGAAAATGTTAGGCAAAAATTTGAATAAAATTTATACACTTGCATGGATATTATATTTTAGGGTCAAAAGTTTTTTTTTTCAGTTCGTTTTCAATGGACCACTCTGTATAACCTTCAAAAACAAAAATACGCGCAAAAGATGGAAGAATTTTCTGGCTCGCCTAGATATCAAACACCTACCAGCAAATTCTAGATCCGCTAAATCGGCCTATACAGATTCCGGGTATCCTGATAGAAAAGATAGTTAATCAGTTAGTATCGTTAATGATAAAACAACACTAAGTGATGTAGAAGACGAATTGACATTTTCGTGGAAATCTTGAAGAGGTTTCGGATAACATTAATATATTCTACAATATCGGGTTTTGTTAACACTGCCAATAAGATAATAAAAATTAGAAAATACTGGTGTTCTGAATAGCGAGTATGTGATTTGTTTTGAATCTTCTAACACCACTTTATTAAATCCAGTAAAATTACTAAGACACCTACAGGAAAATCATAGTGAGCACAAAGACAAACCTATAAAAATTCTATGGGTCAATGAAAAAGCTTGTAAAAGCGATTTTCAAATAAGTTAGCCCTATAGCTATAGTCAGATAACACTTTTTTTGTTGCCGAAACATTTATAAAACCACTCATAGAAGGTGTTATAAAATATTATAAATATCACTACATACATGTAATAATAATATAAAAATGACCACTTTCAAGTGATACTCCACATATGAGAAATTCTCGTAATTCCGTAACAAATCGAGGTTATGAAATGCCAAAAAGCGAAAATATAGTAAGAAACCTAATTGTGAATTTCAGTAATGAGAAAAAGAAAAGTATTAAAGATTACTTAAAAAAACTTACAAAATCTGACATATGGTTTTCCATTACAATCGATGACTGGACTAATTGCAATTCACAAAGATGCCGCACATAATGGAAGACAGTTATAAGGTAGGTCTTATTAAAATAAATATAATAAAGGGTTCTTGCGATGCCCATCAACTATAGGTATTAGTTGAAAGTAAATTAAACGAATATGATATTACGCTAAATACTCATATTTTGACTTCAACTCAAGATGGGGCCAGTGTTATGAAAAAATATTCACAGTTGAATGACATTGAAAATCAATTTTGCCTAAACCATGCAATTAATTTAGCAACAAATTTATTAAAGGCAGAGGGTGCTATAATATTTTTACTTAATAAATTTTAGCAAAATGATAGTGAATTTGAGAAAAAAATGTATCACTCAAGAGGAAAAAGAATTCAATTACTCCAAAATAAAATTTTGTTCTGGAATGTTAGCAATTTATCAGTGCAAGTTAAAATATTTTCGTTTCTTCCTTGCACACTTGTATCAATACTGTTCAAGTAATTAGAAATATCAGCTAAATACGCAAGTTTAGCACATTCTTACATCCTTTTTGAAAAAAAGCCAAGAGCTCATTTCTCAGTTTGTTAACCAGAGTCAGCACTTTACCTCTTGATAACCATCTTACTTTGGTATGTAAAAGCAAGCATTTCTATTTCGATTCCATGGAATTGCCAAGTTGTTTAAATAGACGGATTTCAATGGTCTCGATTTAATGAAAGTAACTACAGACACTACTTGCTCTAACACTAACTTTAGATTTGTTGATAATGTTTTGGAAACCAATGCTTCTCTATGTAAGAAACAACAATGTTAGCATTTCTTTTCTTAACGAGGCCACAGAATCCTTTGATAGAGCCCATCATAGATGGAGCTCCATCCGTACAAATTCCTACGCACTTGTATCAATAGATTTGTCAATCTGCAACCCAAAACTTCTTTCGGATGCTAATTTAGTAGAAACTTGTTTTTATAGATAGATATATATATCTTGTGACATACGTTCAATGCTTCTCTTGACTGTATCATCCGAAAGAGGAATTGTTGCAATTTCTTTCTGTGCCTCAGGGCCAAACATAATCTTTACAATTTCCAAACACGCAAGTAAAATAACAGTTTCTGCTGAATTATACGGTTTCTGCTTGAGCGCGATTAGTTCCGCTACTTTATACGACGCTATTTGGGCCTTGTCGGAAAGTGTAACTGTCTTCTGAAAATGTTTTGCTTGTTCTTTATTTGCTTCTAATAATCTTTTAAAATACTCCTTATTTTTAGATGATAAATTACCATTGCGCTATTTACAAGTTGTTCTCCATATACAATACATTTTGGAATCTAGGAGTCTTTAGTTCCAGACCAGGTAAATCCAAAATTCAAATATTCATCCAAATATTGTCGTGTGGTCGATTTTTTTGGTATGTTTTGGTTCATTCGTTGGTTAAATGTTTCCACCACTACAGCTTGAACTTGATTCTTTATTAGTTTTACTAAATTTTCGTTTAAGAAAGTTTTTTCCATATGCATGCAAATAAAATAAGTGACTCCGTCGCGTCGGTTGTGCCGGGCAAATTGGCTACCGATAGACGGGCGCGTCCTTATCGGTGCATTATAATTATTTATTATTATTTTATGAATTATTTCGCGGAACAGCGATTGAGAACCACTGGTTCAGAAAGTCTTCTTGATACACAATATGCATTAAGAACATTAGCAGTTTGTGAAACAGTAGAAGATATACTCAGTAAACGAGTTGGAAAGTTGATATTGGATGAGGAAATTTTTTTGGATAAAAGTTTCAAACTTTTATCACCTAATAAACCTTATTATTAAACATTTTTAGTTAAAAGAAAGCAAATGGCAATAAATCTAATTTATCTTGTTGCAAATATTTCTAAATCCAAATTTTAATGAAATTCATCTTAACAGAGAAGAACAAATACAAGGAACAGAGTTTATAGACAATATGGCTACTGTAAGAAGCTTATATGAGTCTGCAGAGGTAATGGCAGAATTGGCCCTTTATTATGTTTGTCCCATATGTTTTAAAATCCGTGGAATAGTTACATCCCTTTTTATGGTGGAAGGGGACTTCTTTTGGGTCGACATTAAGTAAAGTAACGGGCAAGATACTAAGTATACCTGCGTGGAGTGTAGCAAGAAAAAGAAGCTTCAGCACCTACAGGTTTATTCACACCGCGAAAAAAATCGGCTTACGGCTGAACGAGCTCGTAAAGTAACTTTCATTGCTCATAATTTTAAATTATTAAATTCTGCCACCAATGTGGAGGTTAATGAAGAAAATAAAGACTTTTCTGATATTGAAGTGATTGAATGCAGTGATTTAGAAACTTTGCAAGGGCTGTCTGAAAATTTATTAGATTCGAACTAATAATATTTTCTAAACATCATAAATCAGTCCTCCATAGTAATTAATCCCATAAATATGAACCAATTTGCCAATCTATATTTGTATTTAAAAGCTTGTTCTCAGAAAATTCTCAAAATCGAGAATATTCTCATTTTTCTCGAGAATTATCCACCTCTAGTTTAAACTGAGCCAATACATGATTAAAATCGTGCATGCAATATCTCCTGAACAAACGATAATTGAACATGATTTTTTAAAGTTATAAAAACAATGTTATAAAGTGAACAAAAATCAATTTAAAAATTAATATCTGAAAAACGAAAAGATATTTTATAACATGGTTTTCTTCATTGAAAAGCTCACAGGTTTCATTGTAAGTAGTGATAATTTGGTAACGATATACGAAAAATTCAATTTTTTACGATTTTTTAAATATTGAACCAATAAAAATGTGTATAGTAATAATTAATATTAAAAAAATCGTCTCCCTGCACCAACACATAAATTCAAACAACATATAGCAAAAATCAAGGTAAAGTTTCATAAAATATTTTCTTAAAATTGCAAATATTAATTAATCTAGAATTTTTTATATAAAAATTATGTTGTAATCCGAGGCTGCTATACATAAGTAACTCAAAAATTGGACCTTCTAGCAATACAGTATAATCTAACAAAAAATTACTGTAAAAATAATTTTTGCTTACGGTGGCATTTACATGAACATTTCTTCTTTTTCGCTTTGTTTTATTAAACAAAAAGAAGAAGAAAGTTAATTTTAAGTTTAATTTTCGATTTTATATTTTTAAGCTTGTTTTTAATTCTTACCTCTATGTGGCGTTGGACTTGGTTGTTGCAACAACGTCGCTAATCCATGATAAACCGCACCGCCTTTAGCAACATCCAAAGTAACCACACTTCCAGTTCTCACAAGAAATTCTGCGGCCTTTTCCTGAGTAATTCCCAACAAAGATTGACCGTCCACCGATAAAAGTTGATCGCCAGCTGCTAACCTCCCATCCCTATCCGCTGCCCCGCCAGGAACTACCGACTTGATGTAAATCCCTAACCTTTCTTGTCCAGCCCCTTTCGCAGCTACAATTGATAATCCCATACCACCACCAGCCTTATGTAATCTTATCGTTTGGATCTGCCAAAAAATATTAAACATCAAATTGTAATTTTATTTGTTTTGATTATTTACCTCCGGTGTATGTGATGCACTTAAAGCAGAAGGTGGTCTTGGTGCAGTCATATAAACAGTCCAATGTCCTGAACTAGTTGGTTGTGCAGCTAATCGACATAACCCAGACGCTTGCAATGGATGTAAAAAATCAGCAAGTCCAGGTGGAACTCCTTGAACGACATCGCAACTAAACCCGTCATCAGGTAAAAGTAATTGAAGTGGTGGAGCGGAATCTTCGTGTAATTTCACTTCCCTTCCTTCAGCTCTCGCCAGTTCATCAGCAACTCCTTCCGCCGCGCGAGCTGCATGCTCCAAAAGGGGAGGAGGAGCAACTTGTTCGCCAGGTTCACCTTTGTATTGCGTTAAAAGCGCGCGAAGTTGCAACGAATTTAATTTAAAACAAGCGGCGCTTAACGTGGCTAATTCGTCCGCTGAGGATTTCGGTGCTTGTAAAAGATGTGCACATTGGACTATTTTAGCTAGATGACATTCCGCAGCTAATTCTAAACCTTGCGATTCGGCCCAAGCTTGTAAATTCCGTAATCGATTAAAAAGTCTCGTTCCAAACGATCTCGTACACAATTGTGAATTATTAATAATCGTCGACAAACTTCTGGCGGAGATCCAATGAAACAGCTGGGAAAACAATTGTATCGTCAATGCAGCGTTTACTCTACACTTCCTCAACAAGTTCATCGCGTTACTCAATACGTTAATAATCTCTCTAGGATGATCTTCTTGCGTTTCAGCCATCATCAAACCGCCCATAACCGAATTTAACTCGTCCGTAAGACACGCGACTAAATTTCTAAACCCCAATTGTACCGAATCAGCCAAAGTGTCTTGAGCTTGCATCGAAAAAGCGCTCACATGTCTATCGGATTTTAAAAAATGTAATAACTCGCTCGCGTTTGCCAACCAAAAAGCTTGCGAAACGCTTTCTGTGCTTCGATCTTGCACGGTGTGTCGTACCAATTTAGCAGCGTGTTGAAGGAGTAATGTAAGTTTTTGGGCTCGTTCTGTAGGTGTTAATTCCGGTCTGTAGTGAGTCGACGCTCGGTATCTTGCACAAAGATATAAAGTATATGCGGGGGCTAAACGGAAAGTAGGCGTCGTTACATCCAAGTGGGTAATAACTCGCGCCAAAAAAAGTTCTTGGGGTTCTTCCGGAAATTCGAGAACCGCGGGAAGGATTGGATCATGACCTCTTGGATATCTGTCCATACCTCCAACTCTGCAAGTAAAAAATGAGATTTAAAGATGAAGATGTAATAAAAAAGAAAAAGAAATAATCGAAGATAATAATAATAAGATAAGAATGTATGCGTTTTTTTTTGTAAGAGGAAACAAACCTATTTTCTGATGATGAACCAAGTGACCGATTATCTTCTCTAGGTCCGCTCGCGGTCGAAACCGTTTCAACATTTCCTTCAAGGTCAAAAGTGGTCTCAAAATTTTCCCTGTTATGGTCGATGGGGCTAAGAGCTCTCGGAGACCTAAGCGATTTCGATGAACGCAAAATAAATTGGGAAAATTAGCAAATCAAATCCAAAATAACAACCAAAAAAATAATCATTCCAAAAAAAGCTTAATAATCAAAATTAGCGAATGAACATTCAAAATTAACAAGGCAAAATAAAAATTTACCTGTCGTATATTCGAGTGTTATCGACGAATCCCGGATGTCGAGATCTATCCTCTTGCGAAGGATCTAAAAACCGATAAGTGTTACTGTTCCCAAATTTAATAAGGCTTCCATGTGCGAGTATCGTCGTTTGGTGAATCCTCTGTCCGTTTACGTAAGTGTGGGCATCTGCGTGACATGGCGTTAACGATGTTACCCCATCTGTATTTGTTATAACGCAGTGTCTTGGTTGGATGTGGGGTCCATATAATTGTAAAGCAATTCCATTTGCCGAACCGACCTAAGACATATATTTATGTAGGTATATAAAAAATAATACAGAAATTGTTTTAATTCAAAGCGAATTCATTATTAAAACGAGTATCGAGTGGGTTGAGTAAAAGTTTTCTTCGTATTCGTACTATTTGTAGTCGTCCTCTCGGAATATCTGAATGCAATTAACTGTTATTCCCGTGAGAAACGAACGTACGTGGTACGTTTTAGAAAACGTTCTTCAATCCACCTTCTTAGGCGGATTACGAAAACCCAGCCGTTTTAAAAATCCCCCTTATAATATTATTCAAATACTTTGCAATCTTTACCTCCATCACATCGTTATTCAATCGAACGGTCCTTGCGGTATCCCCGGGAAGTGGTGCTGATCCATCCGGTCCCAACTCGACCAAAATGGGAATGGAATCCCCTCGAATGTCCCCCCTTGGATTGCCGGCGTTCGCCCCGAGGGCGCCCGGTTTCTTTTTTCGTTTCCTTGGGGCGCAATCGGCCGGCCGACGTCTTACATGAAACATTATCGAACCTAAAAGGAAATAGAAAAAGCTCATTAAAGTATTGCAGATATAAAATTAATTACGGTAAAATCTCGATATAACGGATTAATACGGAAAAGGGAGTGAAATTTTTAATTTAGACTTTAAACTGTTTGAATGAATAATTTTAATGCACACAAATTTGAACAGTTATCCACAACGTTGTGTTCTTTATTAGTTAATTCTATTTTTAGCTCAATAAAAATATAAAACAATCTAGCGCTGAAAACAAATAAAACTAGAGCTTACACTTTAAAACATTCTGAAATTTTTTGGTTCTAGAATTTTTGTTACTTAAATTCTGCTATACGATGTTTTTACAAAATGTGAAATTGGATAATATGATCCAATACAAAACAATTCTTTTGTATCGGAAAATTTAGAAATTTAAGAAATCATATCTCAAGAATCGATTGAGATGTTGCAATAAGCTAAAATGTATTTTTAAGCAAACTTAATCTAGTTTCAGTGTCCCTAAAATTATTTCTTAGTTCCTATAAATCTCTTTGTTATAGCTCTTTATGCACAATGACGTATATTGAAGAATTATCGAGATTCTATCGAAAAAGCGAAAAATTTTAAAAATATTTCAAGAACCGACTGAGATATTGCAATGACATAAAATGGATTTTGAAGCAAATTTGATCTAGTTTTAGGGTGCCTATAATAATTTCTTAGTTTCTATAAATCTCTTTGTTATGGATCTTTATGCACAATGACGCATATTGTAAAATTATCGAGATTGTATCGAAAAAGCAAAATATATCAAAAATCGTATCTCAAGAACCGATTGATATATTGCAATGAGATAAAATGGATTTTGAAGCAAATTTAATCTAGTTTTAGTGGGCCTAAATTCATTTCGTAGTTTCTATAAATCTCTTTGTTATGGATCTTTATGAACAATGACGCATACTGAAGAATTATCGAGATTGTATCGAAAAAGCGAAAAATTAAAAAAATCGTATCTCAAGAACCGATTGAGATATTGCAATTAGATAAAATGGATTTTAAAGCAAATTTAATCTAGTTTTAGAGTGCCTATAATAATTTCTTAGTTTCTATAAATCTGATTATTATGGTTCTTTATGCACAATGATACATACTGAAGAATTAACGAAATTGTATCGAAAAAGCGAATAATTTAAAGAATTGTATCTCAAGAACCGATTGAGATATTGCAATGAGATAAAATGGATTTTGAAGCAAATTTAATCTAGTTTTAGTGTGCCTAAAATTATTTCTTAGTTTCTATAAATCTCTTTGTTATGGTTCGTTATGCTCTATAATGCATATTGAAGAATTATCGAGAATGCATCGAAGAAACGAGAAATTTAAAAAATTATATCTCAAGTACCGATTGAGATATTGCAATGAGATAAAATGGATTTTAAAGCAAATTTAATCTAGTTTTTGTGTGCCTAAAATGATTTCTTAGTTCCTAAAAATCTCTTTGTTATGGTTCTTTATACACAATGTGATGCATAATAAAGAATTATCGAAATTGTATCGAAAAAAACGAGAAATTTAAAAAATCGTATCTCAAGAACCGATTGAGATATTGCAATGAGATAAAATGGATTTTAAAACAAATTTAANGAGAAAAATTAAAAAAAACGTATCTCAAGAACCGATTGAGATATTGCAATTAGTTATAATGGATTTTAAAGCAAATTTAATCTAGTTTTAGTGGGCCTAAATTCATTTCTTAGTTTCTATAAATCTCTTTGTTGTGGATCTTTATGCACAATGACGTATATTGAAAAATTATCGAGATTCTATCGAAAAAGCAAAATATTTCAAAAATTGTATCTCAAGAACCGATTGAGATATTGCAATGAGATAAAATGGATTTTAAAGCAAATTTAGTCTAGTTTTACTGTGCCTAAATTAATTTCTTAGTTTCTATAAATCTCATTGTTATGGTTCTTTATGCACAATAATACATATTGAATAATTAACGAAATTGTATCGAAAAAGCGAATAATTTAAAAAATTGCATCTCAAGAACCGATTAAGATATTGTAATGAGATAAAATGAATTTTGGAGCAAATTTAATCTAGTTTCAGTGTCCCTAAAATAATTTCTTAGTTTTTATAAATCCCTTTGTTATGGATCTTTATGCATAATGATGTATATTGAAGAATTATTGTGATTGTATCGAAAAAACGAGAAATTTAAAAAATCGTATCTCAAGAACCGATTGAGATATTGCAATAAGATAAATTGAATTTTGAAGCAAATTTAATCTAGGTTAGTGTGCCTAAAATTATTTCTTAGTTTCTATAAATCTCTTTGTTATGGATCTTTATGCACAATGATGTACATTGAAGAATTATCGAGATTGTATCGAAAAAGCGAAAAATTTTAAAAATCGTATCTCAAGAACCGATTGTGATATTGTAATGAGATAAAATGGATTTTGAAGCGAATTTAATCTAGTTTTAGTGTGCTTAAAATTATTTCTTAGTTTCTATAAATCCCTTTGTTATGGCTCTTTATGCATAATGAGGTATATTGAAGAATTATCGTGATGTTATCGAAAAAAACGAGAAATTAAAAAAATCGTATCTCAAGAACCGATTGAGATATTACGATGAGATAAAATGGATTTTGAAGCAAATTTAATCTAGTTTTAGTGTGCCTATAATAATTTCTTAATTTCTATAAATCTCATTGTTATGGTTCTTTATGCACAATAATAGATATTGCAGAATTAACGAAATTGTATCAAAAAAGAGAAAAATTTTAAAAATCGTATCTCAAGAACCGATTGAGATATTGCAATGAGATAAAATGGATTTTGAAACAAATTTAATCTAGTTTTAGTATGCTTAAAGTTATTACTTAATTTCTATAAATCTCTTTGTTATGGTTCTTTACACACAATGATGCATACTGAAGAATTGTTGAGATTGTATAGAAAAAGCGAGAAATTTTAAAAATCGTATCTCAAGAATCGATTGTGATATTGCAATGAGATAAAATGGATTTTGAAGCAAATTTAATCTAGTTTTGGTGTATCTAAAATTATTTCTTAGTTTCTATAAATTTCTTTGTTATGGTTCTTTATGCACAATGATGCATAATAAAGAATTATCGAAATTGTATCGAAAAAAACGAGAAATTTAAAAAATCGTATCTCAAGTACCGATTGAGATATTGCAATGAGATAAAATGGATTTTGAAGCAAATTTAATCGAGTTTTAGTGTGCTTAATGTTATTACTTAATTTCTATAAATCCATTTGTTATGGTTCTTTATGAACAATGATGCATAATAAAGAATTATCGAGATTGTATCGAAAAAAACGAGAAATTTAAAAAATCGTATCTCAAGAACCGATTGAGATATTGCAATGAGATAAAATGGATTTTAAAACAAATTTAATCTTGTTTTTGTGTGCCTAAAATGATTTCTTAGTTCCTAAAAATTTCTTTGTTATGGTTCTTTATACACAATGATGCATACTGAAGAATTGTTGAGATTGTATAGAAAAAGCGAGAAATTTAAAAAATCGTATCTCAAGAATCGATTGTGATATTGCAATGAGATAAAATGGATTTTGAAGCAAATTTAATCTAGTTTTGGTGTACCTAAAATTATTTCTTAGTTTCTATAAATTTCTGTGTTATGGTTCTTTATGCACAATGATACATATTGAAGAATTATCGAGGTTGTATCGAAAAAGCGAGAAATTAAAAAATCGTATCTCAAGAACCGATTGAGATATTGCAATGAGATAAAATGAATTTTGGAGCAAATTTAATCTAGTTTTAGTGTGCCTTAAATTATTTCTTAGTTTCTATAAATCTCTTTGTTATGGATCTTTATGCACAATGATGCATATTGAAGAATTAACGAAATTGTATCGAAAAAGCGAATAATTTAAAAAATTGTATCTCAAGAACCGATTGAGATATTGCAATGAGATAAAATGAATTTTGGAGAAAATTTAATCTAGTTTTAGTGTGCTTAAAATTACTTCTTAGTTTATATAAATCCTTTTGTTATGAATCTTTATACACGATGATGCATATTGAAGAATTATCGAGATTGTATCGAAAAAGCGAAATACTTTAAAAATCGTATCTCAAGAACCGATTGAGATATTACAATGAGATAAAATGGATTTTGAAGCAAATTTAATCTAGTTTTAGTGTGCCTATAATAATTTCTTAGTTTCTATAAATCTCATTGTTATAGTTCTTTATGCACAATGATACATATTGCAGAATTAACGAAATTGTATCGAAAAAGAGAAAAATTTTAAAAATCGTATCTCAAGAACCGATGAGATATTGCAATGAGATAAAATGGATTTTGAAACAAATTTAATATAGTTTTAGTATGCTTAAAGTTATTACTTAATTTCTATAAATCTCTTTGTTATGGTTCTTTATACACAATGATGCATACTGAAGAATTGTTGAGATTGCATCGAAAAAGCGAGAAATTAAAAAAATCGTATCTCAAGAACCGATTGTGATATTGCAATGAGGTTAAATGCATTTTGAAGCAAATTCAATCTAGTTTTGGTGTACCTAAAATTATTTCTTAGTTTCGATAAATTTCTTTGTTATGGTTCTTTATGCACAATAGTACATATTGAAGAATTATCGAAGTTGTATCAAAAAAGCGAGAAATTTAAAAATCGTATCTCAAGAACCGATTGAGATATTGCAGTGAGGTACAATGGATTTTTGAAGCAAATTTAATTTAGTTTTAGTGTACCTAAAATTATTTCTTAGTTTCTATAAATGTCTTTGTTATGTTCTTTATGTACAATGATGCATAAATGCAGAATTATAGAGGTTATTTCATTCATAACGTTAACAGACAATAAGAATACGTGATTTTCCATCAATTGCGAGTATTTCAGCGGTTATTTGGCCGTAACCATGGAGAACGATAATAGGAACCTTTGTATTATCGCTGTAATACGAACCTTTGTATTATCGCTTGTTTGACATTTAATTAATTTTGAGA